ACTGAACTGCCTGACTCTACTTTGACATGTGAAATTTCAGTTATTTCAGGTAGTTAGGACTGTGGCTTGGTTGCCACTTTTTTCTCCCCAGGGGTGGTAGATGCTTGTCTGTGTTGAAATCCTACTCATTTTGACCACTCCCATACTGAATAATGATTCTGTCACTGGGGGACCAGCCTCCCTGCCCCTCCTTGTTTGTTGGGGTTTGATAATCCTACTGAGGGAGGTTCTTTGCTAGGTTGTGAAACATATTGGTTGGGACTGGCCGCATCTGCCCCCCGCCCCCACTTGTCCTCCTTCCCTCAGGAGACCAGCCCTCCCTCCCTCCACCCCTGCCTGCTGCCCTGGTCCCAGCCTTACCAGAGAAGCAGGTGGAAGTGGAGGGTGGGGTGGGGAGGAGCCGGGGGTGGGCCTGGGTCCCTTTCTCAAGAGTGTCTCTGCTTCCTCTCTCCCATCCTCCTGTCCTGCGACTGGCATCCCTCTGCACCTCACCCCAGCCTCCTGACCCTGCTCTGGACCTACACGCTCACCCTGCTGATGGAGGGGGCTGCCTCCCAGCGGAGCTGCCCCCTGGCCTCTAGCAGGCTGAAGACTGCCCTGCAGGTACTAATAATGGTGACAGCAAATAATAACCCCGGGGCGGGGGGGGCTGATGTCTCACCCACCTGATGTCTCACCCCTAGAATCTGGAGATCTGCTTCTACGCAGAGGGCTGCGGCCTGCCACCTGCAGCCCTGCACACCAACACCTTCCAGGTAGGGGTCTTTGGTGAGCTGGTGGGGGGGGGGGAGCCTGCCTTTCTGTGCTCACCTGTGTCCAGTACCAGCTGCATAATTTACAGGGCCCAGCACCGAAAGAAAATGTGGGCCCCTTTTCAAAAGTTAAACCAAGCAGAAGGTTCTTTAAGCACGGGGAGGGGGCAGCTGTGCGACTGTGTGGGGGGCACACCTGTGAAGCCCACCCGGAGCTTTCCTATCACATCGATATTGGCCGAGCCAAACCCTCTGAAGGGCGGCACTGGACTGGGTTGAGTGTGACAGTTCAGGTGACTTCTCAGCTGTGCCTCGGTCCCAGGCTCTGCAGAGGGACCTGGAGCTGCAGGCCACTTCCAGCCGGGAGCTCATCCAGAAGTACTTCTGCAGCCGCATCCAGCAGCAGGTGAGGCTCTTTTCCTCCGTGTGGCTCCCGGCGCCCCTGGAGCCCTGCCTCCACTCTGCCCCACTCTGCCCCTGCGCTCCACCCCTAGGCGGAAACGGCCTCCGAGGAGCTGGGGGCTGTCACAGTCAAGGCCTCCTACCGCACCTCTGAGCAGAAGCTACGTGTGGAACTGCTCAGCGCCTCCAGCCTGCTGCCCCTGGACTCCAACGGTGAGTGCAGGCTGCGCGCCGGCCACTGCCCGCGTCCTCACTCTGCCCACCCCCACGCCCCCCCGCCCGTCCCGGGCAGGTCTGCTCTCCGGAGAGGGAGCGCCGGGCGCGTGTCCTTCCTGTTGCCAGGAGGGGGCAATGCTGCCGAGCAGAGCACAGCGGCAGGGACGGGGAACTAGAGGCGGGGAGCTGGGATATCCTTGGCAACGTCACCTCCCCAGGTGACCTCCCCACTTGCCAGGCTCCAGCGACCCCTTTGTCCAGCTGACCTTGGAGCCCAGGCACGAGTTCCCTGAGCTGGCCCCCCGGGAGACCCAAAAGCACAAGAAGGACCTTCACCCCCTGTTTGATGAAACCTTTGAATTGTGAGTGGGTTCCTACACTCGCCACCCTTCCCCAGCCCTGGACTTCCCTCGGACCTGCTCCTCCCACAGTTCCCCTGTGATGAAGGCATTTGGGTTCCAGGGACCCTGCGAGGAATGGGACTGCGGGGGAGAGGGCCCCCACCTGTTGGGACTTAGAGGCTTGCTTCCAGGGAGGTCCTCTGTTCCCCGAGACAGGAGGGTCTGGGGAACACAGGCCCCTGGTTTAAAGTACCAGCCCAGAGTCAAAGGAGGTGTCTGTCAGGGCACACGCCAGGCCGAGAACTGACTTTGCCATCCTAATGCCCACCTGTCTGCCCTCAGCCCTGGCCTGTCCCCAAGAACCAGCGATGACCTCTTGTCGGGGGGTGCCAGTGACCCTGTAGGGGCAGGCAGCTGAGCCCCGCTCTGTCCCCCACTCAGCCTGGTGCCTGCTGAGCCGTGCCAGAAGGACGGAGCGTGCCTCCTGCTCACGGTGCTGGACCACGACACGCTGGGGGCTGACGACTTGGAAGGGGAGGCCTTTCTGCCACTACGCTCCGTGCCGGGCCTGACTGGGCCTGAGGAGCCTGGCGAGGTGCCTCAGACCCGCCTGCCCCTCACCTACCCTGCACTCAACGGTAGGCCGGAGCCCCAGGGCAGAGGCTGTGGGGCTTCAGGTGCAGAGCCTGGCCCAGCACTGGGGGTGCAGGGGAGGGGCAGCCTGTAAAGGTCAGGCAGCGGCCCCTGGGGACGCGGATGGAGCTGGGCTCAGAGGAATCCCTCCTTGGGTGTGGGAGCCAGTGGAGTCAGCGTGATGGCTTGTGCTGCTGAGTAGATCTCTCGGGCTCATCAAGAGAAGAGTGACATCTGTTAGGCCAAGTGTGGTGTGACTCTTTGGGGATGGGGGATCACCAGTATGCTTACCTGGGGAGAGAGGCTGGGTCTCCGACTGGGGGGCACAGGCCAAGTGTCCTCCAGGCTGGATAATAGGTGACATGTCTGAGCACTTACAGGCCACTCCTAAGCACTTGAGACGTATTAACTCCCAATCCTACAACCACCTAACGTGTCAGATACTATTACGGCTATTTTACAGATGAGTAAACTGAGGCACAAAGAGGTTAACTAGCTAGTCTTAGGTTCTCATATAAAAAGGTAATAGTTGCAACCTGAGGCGCATCTCACTCAGCCTCTTCCGGTGCAACTCGCAGTCATGCCAGAGGCGCTGATGGGTCTCGTCTTATCCGTCGGGCTGTCTTGTGAGCGTGGCCGGTGTGTGTCCATCACTAGTTTCCAGGATGGCTAGAGAATGGGTCAGTGTCCCCTGCCACTACCCAGGCACCGCCTCCCCCTCCGCCGCAGTCTGACCCCCAAACGCCTCTCTTCACAGGGGATCCCATCCTGCAGCTGTTGGAGAGCCGGAAGGGTGACCGGGAGGCCCAGGCGTTTGTGAGGCTGCGGCGGCAGCGAGCCAAGCAGGCCTCCCAGCATGCCCCAAGGCCGGGGCGGTAGCAGTGGAGGTTAGGGATGGGGTTGGGCGCCCGTAGCGACGGGCTTTCCTGAAAGGTCTGGGTTCTCCCACCATAGTGCAAGCCCTCCAGCCTGGCCTAATGCTCCAGAAGGGCCCTGCAAGCCTGGGGAACCCCAGCGTGTGGAAGGCCCAGCATGAAGATCCCGTCTGGTCCTCCTGCCAGAGCAGGGGCCCACGGTGCTGGTGCTAGGACCCTGTTAGTATTTATATTCCCTTCTTCCTGCCTTCAGCCCTGGCCTCAGCATTCCCTACCGAATCTCAGCACCAGGGGGAGGGGGCAGCTGTCTGCGGCTCCCACCCCCGCTTCCCTCTTTGGGGGAAGCTGCTCGGGCAGAGACCTCTTGGCCACCTGTTTCTGGCATGCCTATTCCAGTCACTGGGGTGGAGGTTAGGCTCCCGTGGGCCTGTTCTTTAACACCCCTACCTTGGTTCACTGGGGCTAGGGCTATGGCACAAAGCCTCCTGGGGGAGGGAGGGGGCCCTGCCAGAGACGAGGCTACAGCTGCCCTGGCAGGGAGGGCAGCAGCTATAATGAAGGGAGCCTGGCTCCTCTCCTGAGGTGGCTGCCAGTACCCAGGCTAAGGAGCCTACAGCCAAGGAGCTTCTGGCTCTGAAGAGGTGAAAGCTGGCAGGCAGTGGGGCTGGCATGGAGGGCCAGAAGCAGAAAAGACGGCTTGGCCAGCCGTGTCTACTGAGGACACCTCCTCCCTGGGACAGTACCTGCCACTTAGGAACTTTCTTAGCAAAAATAAAAAAACAAAAACAATTCATTGTCCTCTAAGGAACTATACCGTTGACCTGCACTGGGGCCCAGAAGTTTATAGTCAGGCCATGCAAACCCCCTCCTCAGGCCTCTGGCAAGGAGACCCTGAGCTGCCCCTGACCTGGGGGGCCTGGCCCACCCCTCACTCCCTCATGTTCTAGAGCAGGTGTGGGAGTAACTGATGCACAAGCAGGGCTTCGCACAAAACGTTACTAGGCATGTCAGTTTGTGGTTGCTGCCTGGCACTCCAAGGGGAGCACCGGGAGTGGGGGGGTCTCCCAGGAGTGCAGGCTGAGTGGCTATTCAAGGGCTTAGAGGAGCAGGGTCCCAGCCTGGCCTGGGGGGGGAGGTGGCCACTGTATTGGAGTCAGAGCCCAAGGCCAGGTTGTCATTCTAGCTGTGTGACCCTGTTTGAGACCCTTCACCTCTCGAGTATGATGGCAGTCGGAGGTCAGATGAGATCACCTCCAAGGCTCCTTTCAGCTCTGAACCTGAGCCCCATACAGAGACCACTAGGTGCGTTTCTCACAGCCACCTGCTAGGCCTGCTTAGAGCAAAGGAAGGAGGTGGCTCAAAGGCTGAGACCCTCCTCCTCCCTTCTAGTGCTTTTATGAGAAGCAGTCTTTTTCTGTTTCTCTCGGAGACAACTAGGGACCTGTTGTCTTTCGCAAAACAAGTAAACAGGTCCCAGCTGATACTGGATCCCTGAAGAGTCCTACACCTAGGAGGCCTCCTGGGCTAAAGGTCTCCAGTTCATCTGAGCCGGCAGGCCTGGGTCGGAGGGCACTTGAGCTGTGTCTGGGGGCTTGGGGCCACCTGGGGGCTTGAAGGTGGCTTTAGCCGCCTAGCCACACCTTGGGTGGGGGCCTGAGCGCTTTCCATGGCCTAGGTGGGGCTGGAGCCGAGGCTGGGAGGGCCAAGCTGACTCTTCTGATAGTTCAGAGGCCCTTATCTGGGGCCCTCCTCTCCCTCACCCCCACGTAAACAAGCTACCATTGTAAGTTCATATTTTATTTCCAATAGGTTTGGAGCTTTGTTGATTTTTGCATTTTTGTAAAAAAAAGTTTTCACTTAATTCATTGAAAGCCCTTTCGTGCTGAGCCCAAGGGGGAGCCTGGGCCAGGCCAGACCCTTCACAGCCCTCTTGCTCCCACCCCAGACCCCCAGCGCTGGGAGCAGGATGGCTTCCCTCCACCCGCTCTGCCCTCCCGCCCCCACTGCATCTTTCTGTACAGAACAATTTTTAAAATGGAAGCTAAGACACAATATACATTGGACAGGCACGCACACACATGTACACACGCGTCCGCTCCAAACGGGCAGGACGTCAGCTGCACTCAGAGAGCACCAAGGAATGCATACGGAGCCCCTCCCGGTGAGGAGGGCAGGGCCTAAGCCCCACCTTGGTCCCCAGTCCGCAGCTCCTCCCCACCAATTGCCCTGCTAGCTGCCAGAGGGGGGCAGGGGGGAGAGGGAGGAAGCTGACAGCAGCTGGGGGGTTATGAAGAGGGCAGTGCCAAGTCTGGTAGGTGGTCCTGGGGCCAGGGAGGCTGCTCTGGGGGCCCGGAGGGAGAGGACTGAGGTGGACCCCTGGCCTCAGGAACCTGAGGGGTAGAACTCCCAGGCCTTGCCCCTCAAGGAGCTTCAAGGGCCCAGGGTTGGGAGCGGGGCTGGCCCCTGCAGCTTTAGCCTGCCAGCCCCAGACTAGATACACATTTGGTAAAACCTAGGAGCTAGGCTGGCTGAGACCCCCAGCACACCCCCCCCCCTCAAGCCTCATGGCTGGGAACCAGGTCTGTCCCCCAGATGTCCACACCCCTGGCTCTGGCCCTGGCCTGGGGAGGTGCAGTGAACAGGGCCTGCCCTGAAGGCTTGGTCCCTCCCCTTGGCCCCTTCCAGCTTCCTGCTCGGGCCCCAGGAAGAAGTTAAAACTAGTTAGTTCTCCTACATTAAAAAGAGAAACCTATCCCCTGCCAAAAGGCCGGTGGGCAATGAGGGGACTTTGTCTCTGCAGTGGAAAAGGACAGAGTGGGCAAGGGGAGGGCTGCAAAATAGTTTTTTCTTTTAAAAAGTGCTTGGTAAGTCTGTTTTAAAGTGTGTGTCTATATCTATGTACAGATATACACACAGACACTGTTCACACACTGCTGCCCACACACACCTGCACACGCACAGAAATGTATACATATACAGAATCATATACATATACATACATACATACATACATACATACATACATACATATATATATACTTTAAAAAGTCCTAGGAAAGAAGATCTGAGCCGGGCCGGGGCCAGGCCTGCAGGGTCACGACTGGAGGGTGTGGGCCCGGCTGGGCTGGCAGACGGGGCACTCGCTGCCCTCGGCACAGAGCTCACACAGCACGGCATGTTGGCATGGCAGCACCGCTCGGTTCTGCTCCTGACACTTAAGGCATTTCACCGACTGCATGTGGAACACGGCCTGGGGAGGGAGAGGGATACCCTGTTCACTGGCCCGGCCCCTCTACATTTTCAGTCCCCTTGGGACAAGGAAACTGAGGCAAAGAGCTCAGCGGCGTGCTCACAGGACACAGCCGACAAGTGGGAGAGCAGAGCTGGAGCTCAGGCTGCTGCCCTCCAGGCTCCCAAAGTCTGCTTCCGGCCCCACCGGGGAGCGGGGAGGCCCAGGGCTGCTCCACAGCTCCTGCCCGACAGGCTCTTCCTCCCACAAAGCCCCTGCCTCGCTTGATCCTGCAGTGACCCTGAGTCCCCAGATGAGAACCATGAGGCCTGGCTACAAATGCCCAAAGAAAGAATGTATTTTTCTGCTGTGCCATGCTCCCCGGGCATCCAGCCGGGCACCTAGGAATGCAAAGCAGCTCTGGGGACCTAACCTAACATTCCTGGAATGTGTGCTGGTATTTGCAGCGCTCACAGGACAAGCATCTCGATGCCACTGAAGGCCCAGGCCCAGTGATGTCGCTTGGGTCAGCCCTGCCCGAACTGTGGGGGGTGAGCACTGATACCTCTCCACCTCCACCTTTCTCACCTCCGCAAGGAGTGACATTTCCTCCTACCTCCCCACCTGCAGGCAGCATCCTGTGTCAGCCCAGTTGGGCAGAGGCTCTCAGAAGGAAGGTGGCTGTCCCTAGAGCAGCAAGGACCCCTCAGAGTCCAAGTACTGGCTGAGGCTACTGTATGCCCCCACCCAGCGCTCCCCTAACCTCCTGGGCTGACCTTGTCCACTTGTTCCAGGTGGGCCCGCAGCTGCTTCTGGAGGGAGTAGAGGGTGGAGAGCGAGAGGGCCTCCAGGTCGGAGAAGGTGGGCAGGGCCTGCAGGTCGGGGCCCGAGTGCAGCCGCTCCAGTTCTTCCTGTAGCTTCTTAACCTGCCCCTCCAGTGCATCCCGCTGCTCCCGGGCCAGTTCGCACTCAGCACCCGCTGCACTGGCCCGCTCACCGGCCTCCTCTGCCTCCTTCTTCCAGGCATCACAAGCCTGTGGGCCCAACACACAGCGCCTCATCATGATGGCCCCCTGCCCCCGTGTCCCCTGCAAGCACCTCTCTGGGAGCCTGCATGGGCCACTTGTGGCTGCAGGGCCTGCTGGGGAGCTGGGTCAGCTGTCTGGGAAGGGAGGAGGCGGGCACTGCCTGCAGAGGAGAGAGATGTCAGGGCCTGCAAGAGACCCTCTCTAGGCAGGGAAGGGGGCTGAGCCCAACACAGCAGGGGAGCACCAGGCAGAGCTGGGCATGCTGCTGGCGAGCACCTGCAGGAGCAGCCGGGCTGCGGCTGGACAGAGGAACCATCTCAAAACCTAGAACCCTGGACCGGGAGCCCTGGGAAGCCCGGACTTCTGGGGAGAGGCCAGCACCGCTGTGCGACCAAACCAAAGAAGCAACTCACAGTGGGAGTTCCGGGCCTGGGGCACCAGCCACCCCAGGTCCTGATTGGCAAGGCAAGTGTTTCCACAGAAGAGAGTGACTAAAACGGAGCTTCTGCTCTGTCCTCCAGGACCCCCGCCCTCCCACCCCTGCGCCTGCTCTGTGTAAGATGGACTCAGGCCCTGGGAAGGCGAGTGGGTGTGGGGCCCAGTACCTGCTTAGCCTGCTTCCAGGACTCCTCCCACTGCTTGATGGTGCCGTTGGCTTCTTCAAGCTCTTGCCGCAGCCGGGCCAGCTCAGCGGCCCCTGGCCCTGACAGGAAGGCAGGGGAAGTGCCTGGGGAGAAGCTACCAGAGGCAAAATGCTCCCAGATGCTGCTGTTCATCCCGTTCAGACCTGCCTCGGGAAAGGGAAGAATATTAGAGCTCCGGAGGGCTTCAGGCCTGCGCCCAGGCCCTGGTCCTGTCCACCCCTCTCTGGGAGGCTTCAGGGGGCTAGCTGAGCAAGGCTTCAGCAACGTCAGGCTGGGGAAACTCACAGGAACGTGTAGGGCCCACAGTTGCATCAGACCTACTGTAGCACCACCTGCTACTCAACGTTTGGCACTTAACTTCTGAGGCTCAGCATCCTCATCTGTAAAGTGAGGATCCCATCATTTGCCTCACAGGGTGATTCGGAGGACTTGGGAAGTACTGCAGGGAGAGCAGTCTGTAAAGGAGGCTATTTATGATTGTGAACTGACTTTTAGGCTAGAGGGAGGAGAGCCTTCTTGCATCTTCTGTAAGGCTTGGGAGGAGGCTGAGGGGCAAAAACACAGGCCAGAGCCTCAGATGATGGCACAGCTAGAACAGGAGGAGTTCAGGGAGCCCTGGCTTCATTCCCCTTGTTTTATTATAAGGAAACAGATACAATGCGTTGCTAAGAATCACACAAACAGTAGGGGCGTCTGGGCGGCTCAGTCGCTTGGGCATCTGACTCTTGGTATTGGCTCAGCTCATGATCTCTGGGTCATGGGATCGAGCCCCATGTGGGGCTCCGCACTCAGCAGGGAGTCTGCTTGAGATTCTCTCTCCCTCTGCCCTTTCCTCCATGCCCTCTTTCTCTCTCTCAAATAAACAAATAAATAAATAAATCTCCCCCCCCGATTTAATTTATTTATTTGAGAGAAAGAGCATGAGTGGGGCTTAAGGGCAGAGGGAGAAGCAGACTCCCCACAGAGCAGGGAGCCTGATGCGGGGCTTGATCCCAGGACCCTGAGATCATGACCTGAATCGAAGGCAAATGCTTAACCGAAGAGCCACCCAGGCGCCCCATGAATAAATAAATCTTAAAAAAAAAAAAAATCACACAAACAGTAAATACTGGAGCCAGTATACAGTCAGAGCATCTGACTCCAAAGGCTTCCTCTTTCCAATAAGCTACGCTGCATGCTCCTCCAACCATACTCGCTCAGTCTTTCCACAGATGTTTACTAACACCATGTGCCCTCCTCTGTGGCCCCCAGGGCAGCCCCTATCTTCTAGAGGGGGATCCATACCCACGTCTGGCCTCACTCTGCCCACGCTTATTCTAATAATTTCTTTCTCACTCTCTTCTCCACTAATCCAGCCAGAATGTTCCAGAAGCCTCCAAGCAATACCAGTGCACCCAAAATATGAGCGACATCATCCTGTGTGGAGAGCCTGAGATGTGCACAACCTATGAGCCTATGTGCCCTGTCTCAGAGGTGGGAACTCAGAACCAACACAACACCGTCCCAGCAGCAAGCTCTTCCCACGGACCTCTGCTCACGCTCAGGCAGCATTTCCTCTCTTGGAGAGGAGCCGCTTCCTCTCTCGACTGCATCCCGCTCATGTCCCCTCTATTATTCTGAATCACAAACCCAGGCCTTTGCCTCCACACAACAGTGACAGTCCTACATATGCTCTCATGTCCGTGCTCCTCTGCCTCCCCGACTAGACCATGGCTCCATACCAGCAGGGACTGTTGAGCTCACAGTGTACCTGTAACTCCGCTCAGTAACTACATGGAGAAAGAGTGAATGAATGTGCAGCCAGTGAGGGCTACAATCAAGATGCTTCCAGAATAGGAGCAAGTCAGACAAATGTAACACAAAGCATCTAAACCTGACAGACTCAACATGAAATGTAACAGCCACCTCCAAAGCTGGAAAGATACTAAGAAATCAACGTGCTGCCCTGATCTCTGGAGTGAGATTAGGAAGCTCCCAGCCTGGTCAGAATGTCAAATGTGGCTCAGAGGCTCAGGCTCAGTGTGACCAGGAAGCCCAGCACCCTCAGCAGAGATTATTCCTTATCTCCTCCAACAGGAGGGGAACTAAGAGCAGACGCGGCGGTTTGGGTACCGAGCTGCTTTACGTGTTACCTCAGCGAACACTCACACCAGCCCGCCCACGAGAGGGAACCCTGCCCGCGGTGGTGGAGCGTGCAGCTCTCCACACCCTGCTTCCAATGGCTGTGATTGACGTGCCCGCCAGAAGGCACAGTCCATACCATTCTAACACTTGTGTTCAGCAAATAGCCTTTGGGGTTACAGCTAGGTCTGCCTGGTGCCTCTGTTTACCGGGAAGGCCACTTTGAGCCTATTCAGATTTTTCCCTTTGCCTCCGGTGAAGCTGGCTGTTGTGAGTCCGCTTCCAAGCGCTCTGGGCGACTGCGCAGAACCAGCACACTGGCAGGAACAGCACCCAGGCCCTGGCACCTGAGGCCACTGCTTCTCACTGCACAGCGGCCCTGTGCCCAGCACTCCACCCATGTTGTTTCATTTAAGCCTCGCCACCGTCTTAGAAGGAGGATGCTGCCATTATACAAATTTTAAAGCGAGGCAACTAAGAGAGGCTAAGTTGCTTGTCTAGTTTTACCCAGCTAAGGGAAACACGGGACAGGGACCTGATCCACCTCCAAGCCATAAGCCACTTGCTTCAACCTCATTCTGCATTGCCTCTGGCTGTGGACAAAGCACTTTCCAAAAGCCCAGATCCTGTCCCAGGTCTCAGAGACACACACACTCTCTTACCCAAAGATCCATGTGATGCTGAGGTCCCCAAAAATGTGTTTTCTGACTGGCTCAGGTGGCCCTGGGGCTGCTGCAGGAAATGTGAGGAGAGGCTGACAGGAGGGGACGGGGATGCTGAGTGGAAGGAAGCAGAACTGCCCAAGGAGCCAGGGATGTTCACGGGTGCAGAACTCTGCAGCAAACTGCCGCCTGGAAGAGAGGCCCCGGAGGGCAAGTAAGGGCAGGGCAAGCGATGCGGAGCCACACCAGCAGGGGGCAGCTCATCTGCCCATCTTGGGCCAGGCTGGACCCCTACGAGAGCCCTCCCTCGAGCGCTGCCCGCCCGCTGCCCACCCGCTGCCCAGTACCAATTGTGATGCTGCCTGGGTGGGGCACCGTGCTGTTATCGAAAGTCTTCTCTAGGGCGGCCACCCCAAACTCGTTCAGGTCCAGGTCATCCAAGGCAGACTCTGGAGACAGACAGATTGGGGTGTGAGCCTCCTTGCCTCCTGAGAGGCCACACCACCCTGAGGTTCCAGGCCTCGCCTCCAGGACCCACCTGCCCTCCACTGCCTCCTCTTCACGCTCAGTCCCACTAGACCCATGCTCTCGAGCCTCTGCCTGTCGGGCTGCCGCTCTGCCAACACGGATGCCCTGAGCTATCTGCCTCGCCAAGTCCGGCTCAGAAGGCGGCTTTTCCGAAATCTTCACTGATACCTCCGGGGGACCCAATGCAGGGTTCCTGACTCTGACAGAGGTCTTGTCTCCTGCTGTTACAGCTCACATGTCTCATCCCTGCGTTCTCTGGGGGCAAGCAAGCCTCTGGGCCCTCAGTGGCTACTGCAGAGTAGGTGCTTGACAAATATCCCCTGCCCTCTGCTGGACTAGACTGGGAGGCTGGGAACAACAGGAACACCCTGTCTGCATCCCTTAACATCCCAGTGCCTAAAACACGATCTGGCACGAAGTAGCACCCATAAATGACTGCTGAGAGAGAAGGGCAGTGGCTTCACATGGCCAGGAACTCTGAGGACAGTTGCGCAGGTTGTTCACTACACAACGATACCTAGTGAGAGAATGAGCGAGGGCTGAATGACCTGCGTCGTGGAATGAGACTGCACTTGTCCAGAGGAAGAGTTCTCTCTTTCTAATTTGCACAACAGTGCAAACTGAAGGGCTACTTTCCTATAAGGTCTAGTCTTGGGCCACACCTTGGGCTCATTTTCCCTTTTCAAAGGGCTCAGAGTGCCCACCCTCTAACTCTCCCAAGATAAATGTCTAAAGTGACAAGTACGCTGGTTTGAATCTCACTCCAGAGACCTAGCTTCTCTAACTCCAGATCCAGTCCTGGACTTGGCAACAGAAATGGCCTAGTTACCTATGACTGACTCTACCGTGTCGCTGGTGGGATAGAAGGGCAGAGCATTTGCATTCATGCCAGGGACGCTGCTGGTGCCTGCAGGGCTAGGGGGAGTAGCTGCCAGGCTGGAGGTGATACTAGAAGAGATGCTTGAGGTCAGGGGGCTGCCCACGGGAAGGATGCCCAGCATGTCCTGCAACGAAAGAGTGAGGAGGAAGCAATGGGATGCCCGCTCATGGAGGCCATGGCCAGGGGCTAGAGATGGGGGCTGGGAGGGGCAGAAGGAAATGGTGCGTTCCAGCTCTCATCCGGATGCCCCCATGCCCAGACAGGACCCCACCCACTCGACACCTTGTTGAGAGGCTGGAATTGGAGAGCTGGGCCTTGCAGGCTGCAGGGCCCACTCACCCTAAGTGTACAAGTCCTACAGTAGGGGAAGGGAGAAGTCAGTCCAGTGCCTAGCATAGTACGACATTCAAGAAATATTGTTTTTGACTGATGAGTGAGTCCAGGAGGTGACAGGTTCCAGGGCTTGACCCCACCCTCTCTGGATTTGGGGCTAGGGCCCCACTTTAGCCCTGCCCTCAGCTTGTGGGGAAAGCAGTGGCCCCACTCCCTGAGGCCAGGGATTCTGGGCCTGTCCTATCAATAGCAAGTGCCAGAAGGGGAGACACGGGGCTGAGAGCTATATACCTGTTTGGGCTGAAGCAGAGGCTGCTCTTGACTCCTGGGCTCTAGTGAGTGGGGTTTTAACTTGGCCTGAGAGAGAAAAGTCAGAGAACAGGAGATGAGTGTGGTCCTAGGGAGGGCCCCTGAGTCCAGGAGTCCTCCCAAGCATCAACCTGCCATGGCCCACTAAGGCTGACGGCACCTGTCACGCAATTCCCCTCTACACCACGTACCCTGCTCTCCCTCCCCACCCTTACTCCTTTCCCTACCGTAGGAACCAGGGGAGCTGTTCCTCTTCTCCCTGGTGACTCCAAGCCTCAGGTAAGACCAATTAGAGACCCTCTGTCCTGCTCCCCAAGGCCCTGCCACTCCGTCAAGGCAGCATAGGGCAGGGGAAAGACCAGCTATGGGGTCAGAAGACCGAGATAGGAGTCCCTGCTCCTCTATTAACTGGCTCCGTGACAGGTACCTGGCTATGCTAACCTTCCTGTCTTCGCTTGTAAAACGGGACGGCCTCACTCCCTCTGCTTAGTGTTGCAGAGGCTGAAGACAGGGACCTCCTAGCTCCCAATCATGTTCCCCATAGTTGGGCCAAGACAGCCCTCCAGGGCTTCTCCTGACCCATGCAGGGAGAAAGCTAACCTCACTGGGCTTCCCCTTACATCCCTTACCTGGCATTTAAAATTTTTCAGGTACTCAGCTCCCACCTGGTCTTCCCTCTCAAAGCCAGGAGCCTTCTTATAGCTGCCAGGGGCGAGGCCAGACTCCCCAGGGAAGACAATGCCTTCCAGGTTCGGGGGCTTCCTGATGGAGCCCGGGGGGGAGCCACAGAGATTAGATGGGCTTCCTAGATTGCTGTTTCTACAGAGGAGCTGCAGAGAAGAAAGGGAGCGGCTTTGTGGGCACAACGTGGGTTGGGGCATGGCCCACCCTCCACCCCCTCCTCAGAGGGAGATTCCTCAGCAAGGGGCTCAGTTCTGTTTTCATCTGCCAGTGGGCAGCAACTACCATGCAGGGACCCCGAACCTCAGGAGGAAATTATGTGGGAGTGTGACAGAAGGCTTGTGTCCCTTCTACCAGCTCTATTCAGGCTGACCCACACAGGCTCTGGGTACACCACCCTCTACCAGATTTTGAAAGAAAAACCCTGGGGCAGAAAGAGTAGAACCCCCTTGGCCTGAGGCAAAATACCAGGGCCCACCAAGCACAGGCTGGGAGGGAACTGGGGGCATTAGAGGCAGGTGTTGACTCCTGGCTAGGCATGGTGCCCACCCACTCCCTGGACAGGCACGTACAGCGCTGAGGTCAGGGGCATGTGGGCTGGAGGGGCTCACAGGCACCGAGTCTCCGGCAGCAGATGGCATGTACAAGACGGGACCCGGCTGAGTGGGGCTCGACACAGCTGAAGAAGGTTGTAGATCGTCACTGAGGGGTGGCTCTGCAAGAAACAGGATCAGGGTGTCAGAAGGCTCCTGTGCCAGCTCTGTCCCTCCAAAAACACATCTGGGTCTTCTTCAAAGGAGACCATGCACCCCCTGTACACAAAGGGAAGGCTCCTACCTTCTTTCTGTTAATATCGCATACTGTGCACTTACTTTGTACCTGGCAATTTGTATTAACTGTGAATCTTCACAATGACTAGAGGATGCAAATAATATTGTGGTCTCCATTTTACAGATAAGAAAACTGAGGCTCAGAGAGGTAAGGTTAATCTCCCTAGGTGGTAGAGCTAGGAAACAAAAGAGCTGGGATTTGAACTCTGATCTGTACTACTCCAAAGCCTGAGCCATTAATTACTTCCCTGTGTTGCCTCAAGCAGTGGGCCCAGTTGCCCATGGCTGGGGATGACCTCTGTGCCAAGAATATATTCCCCCCTCCCAGGGCCTTCTAATCCCAGAGATAAGGCCTGAGCCTGAGAACAGGTAAACGACAGTCGGAGCAGTGGCTTGTGGTGGACACGAGTTTTAACTTGAGCTCCATCTCCGAGATGGGCAGTGGTGGTCTAGAGTGCAGTGTAAGAACCGAGAGCCATGCTGTCCAATGCAGCAGCTATGAGCCCCATGTGGCTACGAGGGGCTGGTCTGAACTGAAACATGCTGCACCTACCTATTCGAGTGTGCAACAGATTTCAAAGACTTCGTTTGGAGGGAAAAAAAAAAAAAGTAAAATACTGATTTTTTTACACTATTTTTGAAATGATTATAATTTTGTATTGAATTAACTAAAAATACATTGTTAAAATTAATTTACTTTTTTTTAAACATAGTTACTAGAAAATCTAAAATGACATGAAGGTTGGGGCGCCTGGGTGGCTCAGTCAGTTAAGCGTCTGCCTTCAGCTCAGGCCATGATCTCAGGGTCCTGGGATCGAGCCCCACGTCGGGCTCCCTGCTCAGTGGGGAGTCTGCTTCTCCCTCTCCCTCTGTCCCTGCTTCTGCTCTCTTTGTCTCTCTCTCTCAAATAAATAAAATCTTTAAAAAAATAAAAAATAAAAATAAATAAATAAAAAATAAATAAAATGACATGAAGGTTGCGGTATATTTTCACTGGACAGCTCTGCTCTCAGCAGGACGGAGCGCCATGTTTCATTAGTGACGTCTGCCATGGATGTGGCATGGAGTGGCTGCTGAGATCTGCCTAGTTGGCTCCGTGAGGGCACCTCACCCTGCCTGGGACTGTGAGTGCCTGACTAGGGGCCCAGTCCTGCTCTCTATCTCACGACCTTGGAAGCTCCAGGGTTTGAGGCCATTTCCAGGGGGTTTGTGCAGGGGGGCCCGGAATTTCCAGTGAGGACAGAGCCCGCTGTGGGCCAGCAGATGAGAGGCCGCTCCTCTGACTGAACCTGAGCAGAGGGTGAGGGGAAGAGAGGGAGGAGAGGCCAATGGGCACAGCATACGTTCTACGTGGGCGAAGGCGCAGAAAGGTCCTCGGGGACAGCTGCCCGACTGCTGCATGTCGTTGCACTTGGTGGATTTATAGATCTGGAGGGTAGAGCAGAGGCAGGTCAGGCTTAGGCAGAGAGAGACGGGCAGGCATGGGTGCCTTCAACATAGGAGGGTTAGCTTAGTAATCTAACCTTTCTCCTCCCCATTCCATGCCACTTCCCTAAGTCTCTCCCTACTGACTTCTTGATACTCAAACTCCTGAAGCAGATATGGCTACCCCCATGCCAAGGACACCCTCCCTTCTAGGGTCACAGGTTCAACCAGCCCTGCTTCGGCCCTCACAAAGGGATCTTCTTCATGCTGCTTCTCCACTCAGGGTCTTGGCCAGGGCTGTGACCTCCAAATGTCCCTGGACATTAAGGAAGCCAAGATCACAGGCAACACCCACCCACCATGGGGCACCCTGAGTTGGGATCTATGTCTAACTTTCTACCCACATAAGGTGGCCTCTGTCCATATGTCTATCTCAGGATGTCTTAGCCTCCACGTACCCATGAACAGCATGTGCCTCTATATACCCTATCAGATCTTGGGACACTGACATGGCCCAAGCTATACCATGGGGCCAGTGGGCGGGGGACATACAACAGCGAGGTTGCTGGTACTATAAGCTCTGATCTGAAACACCTGGAAGGGGCTTTCTTTTTTAAATCCTCATGTCACTGGATTGTAAGCATCATGAGTGGTACAAAGCCCAGAATGGCCAGGTCACTATGCCCAGTCCATGCCTTCCCTGTCAGGAGGCTGGGGGGAAACAAAACTGGGAGCAGGGGGCTGCTCAGGGACTATGGGCTCAGCACAAGGCAAGTTACCAAATTAGGGTACAGGGCTCCTTTAGGCACTGTGTGGACGGAGGCCTCTTCCAGGATGCTGTCAGCATGAGCTCTGCCCCATCTGCCCAGGCTCTCCGTTCCTCTTTCCTTGCACCCCCCGGGCACGTGAGGCCACCCCCAGCTCCCCCAGGCCCAGCCCAGGCCCAGGCCCTCCGTTCCTTTTTCCTTGCCCCCCCCCCAGGGCACGTGAGGCCCCCCCAGCACCCCCAGCACCCCCCGGCCCCGGCCCTCCTCTTTCCTTGCTCCCCGCCCCAGCCTCCCCAGCCCAGGCCCAGGCCCAGGCCCTCCGTTCCTTTTTCCTTGCCCCTCCCGGGCATGTGAGGCCCCCCTCAGCCCCCCCAGCCCCCCCGGCCCTGGCCCACCTCCGGGTGGAACTGCTGCTCCGTACGGCTATGGCAATACTGGCAGGCGTCGCCGCTCTCGCACTTGCCAGGGTCTCCCCACTCATCCCCATGCTTTACGTTCGGACACGGAGATGACCTGGTCCGGTTAGACGGCAGGGTCAGAGCGACGCAGGAGAGGGAGAGATCAGGAGCTGGGGGGTGCCAACTAGATGCCTGTTCAGGACCCCTCCCCTGGTCTCCCTGCTTCACAGGGCCAGGCTCACAAAGAGAAAAGACGAGCTACACAGTGAGAGCCTTAATGGAGCCGGAAGCCAGGCTCTGCTTCTGTGGTGCAGCACGGCCGTTACCAACAAGAAGGACACTTTTTGTCCCCTTCCGCCAGGTCCTCATGCCAAGCATTGTGCAGCTCCAGGAGGGCCAGGCTATAGCCAGAACTGTACTTCCCACACGATGGCTTGGCCCCGGCAGTCATCCCTCAGGATCAGAACTGGAGGGGTCTTAGAGATGATCTGACCTAAGATCCTCATCTCACACCACAGGAGGATCCCAGAGGACTCCCCATCATTCAGCTTATCTTGCTACTCCCTCCCCTTATACCTGGGCCTTGCAACCCTGCAATCCCCAGGGCTGGCCTCCCGGCCTCCCTGCGAGCACACTGGAAGCAGCCCCCGCCACAATCCCTTCCCTGCCACCCCTCCCTCCCATGACTGGCCTGCCTGGGCCAAAGGACCTGTATTTGTGTTTCCGGGGGCTCCGCCGCCGGTCCTTGCTGTTGTGGTAGTAGGGACAGGCATAACCCTGGCGGCACAACCTCGGGGGCTTCTTGCACGGCTCCGTCTTATAGTTCCCCAGCACATAAGCAGTCTCTACACAAGGGGGCCAGAGGCAGGGGTCAGGCAGGTGGGGCAGGAGAAGCCACTTGGGAAAGGGTCCAGGAGCTCCGGCCACCTCCTCATGTGCCAATGCCAAGACTGAGACCCAGCAGAGAGGTAAGAACACCATCCCTCACTGGAGACACTCAAGGCTCATAGAATCAAAAAGGGCAACCTCAGAAGGGTCAAGAACACCTTTATATAAACACACCTAAGGGCAAAATGTGTCTGGGAAAGTCCCCAGAAGGGCCCCCAAATGAAAGGGCTGTGGTTGGATGTAAGGAGGGATGAAGAAGTGGCGGTGAGCCAAATCCTTAGGGCAGCTATGGGCAGGAGAGGAGAGAGGACAAACATCTGGCAGAGGAGGCACGGCCATCTGTGGGGCCACCTTTACCTTGCCACCGTGGCTCCTCACTGAGGATTTTTTCTATCATGGCATGGCTCGCAGCCCCAGCCGTCTGGCCCTCTATGCTGCCCTCTACTGTGGTCTGGCCGTTCTGCAAGGCCTCCATGGCCTGGAGCTCTCTGGGAGGAAAGGAGAGGACAGAGCGGGGACGGGGCATGAGGGGGGAAGCAGAGTGCCAGCCCCTGCACTCCATCTATGGCAGTACCCGCGTCAGCAGCCAGGCCCCCACCCTGGCCCAGAGCCATCAGCCCAGCATGGCATCCAGCCCACCTGATGTCGTAGACAGGGGAACGGAGGTCATGGGGCCCGTGGGCAAAAGCACAGTGCAGGCCGTTTTTGGTGCAGTTGCCTTTTGAGTCTGTCTCGTGGATACAGATTCCAGTCTTGTAGTAGCGCAGATGGTATCTGCGCTCAGTGTCCCCTGTGGTCCTGTGTAGGAACGGGCACCTGAAACGTTGGGGGGGGGGTCACTCACCTTTGCCCTTGGAGCCTGGGCAATCAGCCCCTGCCCTCCCCTCCCCTCCCTGTTGAAGGCTTTCCCCATGACCCGGATGGTGCGCTGACTGAGGAGGCCAGCAGTGATGGGCCCTGCTGCGGTAACAGACCCCCCCTCCCACCACCTGTTGGATGCTGCAGCTTGATGGGGGCCCATCAGGGCCCAGGATTCCCACTTCAGCCTGCTCAGCAAGTCCTCTCAGAGGCTACTTGGCCAGGGCCCTGGGCTGACTTGAAGAGAAGCTCCAGAGGGGGGCACACTCCTGGGAGCGCAAGTGCTGGCTGGATCTGCAGGGGTCCACAGAGAAACGGCCTGCTCAAAGCATGGGCGTACCCTCTCATGCCCCAGTGCCTTATTAGGCTGGGGGCAGGGGGCTCAGGGGGTGGGAAGGAATAAGCCTTGTACCTCTGGGAGAAGTGTGAGTGCAGGGATGGTTCAGTGAGCTGTACCCACAGACCCCCAGCAGTGCTTCCCATTACCACCTCTGCAAGGCTCAAACAAGCAGGGTCAACAAATGCTCCCTCTCAGAGTGATGTCCCCAGGCTTGCCTTTTCTTCTCCTTAGCAGAAGAAAAGCCTGTGTAGGGTTTCCCAAAAGTGGGTAAAGAAGAAGGGGCCTCCCCCAAAGGATGGTGGGGTCTGAGCCCAGGTCCAGGCCACAGGAAGGCAGGCCAGGCTGCAACAGTACTCCCAAAAGCAGCCTCTGGTTGGTTTCTCAGACTCTGCTTGGCCTATTCTGAGGGCACCTGACTCAGGAGACATGAGGCTCCTCTGAGGGCAGGCTGCAGGGAGGGGAGGGGGAGTACTCACTCGTCGCCCTCCGGGCAGAGGCCTGTGGCCTCGTCGTACTTGGTGCAGTAGACGTCGGGGCTGTAGTTGAAGGTGCCGTCCCGACGGCGGATGGACCGGCGACGTCTCTGGTTCACGAAGTGCCAGTGGAAGCAGGTGTAGGGCCGGTGCTGAGTGCATTTGTGTTGCACAAAGAGTGGGCACTGCTCCGTGCGGAATTCCTTCAGGTACCTGCAGGGAGAGCCCCCACGGAGGGTAGGCCAGGAGCAGAGACTTAAGCCCCTTGCTTCCCAGCATGAAATTAGCCACCACGGCCTCTGAGGGCCCTACTCTGGGGTGCTAGTTCCATTAGGACACCAGAAGAGGCCCAGAGCTAAGGGTGGACCTCAGCATCCAGACCCTTCCCAGTACCCAGATCCCAAGCCAGCCTGAAAAGCAAGAACCGTCGACCACAGCAGTCAGCCGTCTGCCATGGCAGCCAGTGGAGGGCTTAACCAGTGGCTTAGTTCTGAGCCCTCCCTGAGGTTTCCCAGGCCAAACGGCTGATCACAGGCAAAGGGCTGCAAACAAGAGCATGAGGAACCGCTCCCAAACTCCTGCAGGGTCTTCTGCTGCCCAGGTCTGCCTGCCAATCCCTGGGGTCTCACCTGTCCCAGGAGCAGGGCTGGGGATCCAGGCTGTGGGCTGGGCAGGCTGCTGCTTTGGAACTGAAAGCCCAAGTCACAAGGTGTTCCTCTCAACTACTGAGTCAGAAAATTACTGTCCGACTTCCTCCCAGAGACACTTCCTAGCACTACACAGGTTAGTGCCTGGGAAGGAGCTCCTTTTACAGAAGCATCTGAAGAGACTGTCCCTCCCAGCCTTGCCTGCCCCCAGTGGTCTCACAACTGCATACCTGCAGCAGCTGGGGCTGTTTACGCCCTGCCTAACCTGGGGATTTGGGGGCACTGTCCTTTTGGCCTCCTCCCAACCTTTGTCCCTCTCCTCTGCATGTAATAGCCAAGAGACCCCAACATAGCACTCTCCCATGAACCACCCAGCGGAGGGCCCCAGACCCACTTACCCCCTTACAGAACATGCCATCCATCTGTGTTTTTGCTCACTCTATGTGTCCAGGTGAAGGGTGTCTTAGACTTGGGAGCCCCTACACAGCAGGGACAGGCAGGCAGCACAGTTCTCTTTATTCATTCCCTTAAGCCCTAACAGTGCGGGCAACAAATGGCTCGACAGAGGGCATTTGATGCCAGCAACGAGGATGATTCCAGAAGGCACAGAAGAGCGTGTGCAGAAGGGGGCACAGAGGGAACAACCACCTGACCTGAAGGAACTGTCCAGGCTTGGAGGAGCACCTGAGGCTAGAAGGCATGGGACAAAGGTGAGAGGATGTGGCTCATGCCAGGATACTTGAGGCCTTATTAGTCTGGGCATATAGAAGGTGTAGGGACAGGTAGGTTGAGGGCTGAGACTTTCCAGACAGGTTTTCTTTACTGCTAATGAAAAGTGCTAAAAAAAAAAAAATCCTCTCCGCCTTAAAGTATGGAGAAGTGTCCAGGGGTATGTATGGGCCAGGGGAAGCTGGAGCTGGGTGCTCCCTGAAGAATACAAATAAAGGTTTAAAGGGCAGTAAAACTTCCAAACAGTCTGCTGTTCATTCAGCACATATTTATTGATCATCTACCAGGTGCGGGCACAGTGGCAGGCACTGAGGACCCTAATGAAGAAGCAGGTCCTTGCCTTGGAAGCCCATACCTTCATGGGAGAGACATAAAAGTAACAGGCAGAATCAATCAAGTGTGGAAAAGGTTGTAAAGGAGGTTTGCTGAGGGTTCCTTGGGAACCCAGAGTATGGGGCCCAGGCTGGGAGAGGAAGGGAAATGGGGAGGTGCTGGTGGGTGGAAGAATGGGGAAGGATGGGGGCGCCTGGCTGGCTCAGTCGTTAAGCGTCTGCCTTCGGCCCAGGTCATGATCCCAGGGTCCTGGGATCGAGCCCCGCATTGGGCTCCCTGCTCCGCGGGAAGCCTGCTTCTCCCTCTCCCGCTCCCCCCGCTTGTGTTCCCTCTCTCACTGTGTCTCTCTCTGTCAAATAAATAAAATCTTAAAAAAAAAAAAAAAAAAAAAAGAATGGGGAAGGATGTTTTAGGCAAAGGGCTAAGTATGAACTTAGAGAGTATGTCTAGGTCCAAGAGTTCCAAGTACCTTTGTGGGATGTGAGTGGGGTAGAGAGGAACTGGAAAGGGGAAAGGAGGATAAGGTGAGGTGCAGGAGGAGCCAAACTGCAGGGACATCATCTCTGGGTCCCAGGTACATTTGGAGATACCAGGCAGAAACCCAGAAGTCTCCCTAGGGCCTGATGTTCTCCTGTCCCTTTTGGCACTGGAACACAAGGTCTTTCTTTCTGTCTGGTTGGACAGAAAGCTGTACCTCGTGCTGCACACATGTCCCAAACCCTGGCACTGAGATGGGACACCCATCCTCCAAACTACTAGGCAGATCCCTCCTGGGCAGTACATACTCCATCTGACTCTGGACCCACCAGGAGACTAGCTCAGGAGGTAAGAGGTGGAAAATGGGAGAGGAGGAAGCAGAATCCAGGGCCAGGAGCAGAAGAGTGAAGAGTGGTTAGGATTGTCAGATTAAACATGGGACACCCAGTTAAATCAGAATTTCAGATAAACCAAGTATTTCACGGGGCATACTGATAAAAATGTATCCATTATTTGAAATTCCAATCTAACTGGTATCCTATATTTTTATTTGTTAAATCTGCCAACTCTGAGTGGTGCCTGTCTGCTTGGTATCAGTGCCTCAGTAAAAAAACCAGGAGGCCGCCAGGGGAAGTCACCCTGACTTCGGGCATAGTCTGTCCTCTTGGAGGAGCGTCTCAGCAAGCCTGCTTGCTTGGGGCAGCCATGTCCACGGTGCCACACGCAAATACCGGGGCTCCACAAGGGCTCTGGCTGGCAGGGATGCCACAGAGAAAGACAGACACCAGGCAACAAATTATCTCACTTTAAGTCGTAGGTCAGGGACTTGGTACTTTGCTTCCAGTCTCTCCCTTGTCCAATTTATACTACACAGCACTTGTTTATTCTTCCTAGAGCCCAAATTTAATTCTCACTTTCTTAGAAGTCTTTAGCTTCCCCCAGTAGCTCCAGATAAGCACCAACCATTTAGCCTGGCATTCCAGGCCTAAACATCTGGCCCAATACTTTTTTTCCAGCCTTAATTCCCTTGATTCCTCTCCATTCCAGCTGCTAAAACTGGAGTCCTTGGTGACTTGCAAATAGATCTTTAACTCTTCTTTTTGTCCGCTTCCTTACCTGTAGAAATCTTTCAAGGCTGAATTCAATGGTAATAAATCTGATGCCACCACCTCCATGTTACCTTCCTTGACTTCCACCTATCCTCCCCTTTCTGCCCTTGTCCCTAGTTAAAAGTTAATCTCTAAGTTTTGCCAGCATGTTCTCTAGACATTTTTATAGCCTTTATCCTGCAATGCATATTAATAATCTGTACATTTTTCTCTACTACTAGATTATAAAATCCTTGACAGCAAGTAAGAACTGAATAGTTTGCTGAATGAATACAAGAAATGAAGTCACAGTAGGGCAGAGCCCACAAAGCAATACCGACAGCTTTATGATGCCGCCAGCAGGCAGAGCACTGAGAGGTGAAAGCCTAATCCCTATTCCCTTGTGGAAAGTACCACACAGCAGGAAACCTGTAACTCAGCAGATAGGGCAGAGTGTCCTGCAGAAAAGCCCCTCATGAGAGAAGGGGCTGAGTGACCAAATTTACACAGGCAGAGAGCCCACTTTTAACCAACTGCAATCAGAGGAGATAAATTTCTAACTTTTTGCTAAAATCATGAATGGAACTGTACCATCTGCTACCTAGGAACCAGAATGTTTGTTCAGAATTTCCCATTCTCCCTCTCCCACTTGACCCTCTGCTAACAGGCAATACAGTACCCAGAAGGCAAGGACAAAACCACTTAGAAATCACTTTCTATTTTCATGGATTGAAATTCAACAAATTTTCAGTGGACATGCACAACTGTCACTGTTAAGCTCCAATCCATCTCTTTCATTTTAAGGCTTTGAAAGTTCAAGATCTAAGAAACTAAATAGGTTGAGATTCACTCTTTAATTCAACAGGAGGGAAAACACACCAACTACTCACTGCCCCCCGCCCCAAACTCTGGGGAAGGCACAAGGGCCACACAACTAAGTGCTTCATACTCCCATCTCCCAGGAATACCTGCACTCAAGAATAAAAGCCAGTAACATAGAATAGTTTCAAACTGCAAGGCCTTGGTGAGCTACTATGGCCAAAATCAGTCCAGAAACCACACAGGCCCTGGGCAAGTAAGAGCTCTGTCACAGAAAGCCACGCCTTCAACAGGAAGAAGGGATGGATACTCGATTGCTCAGAGCTTCATCTTTACTAAGCAGTGCCTTCCTGTCTGCCCCACGGCTGAGCTTAAATCAAAGCTACCTTTTGCTCCTTTTCAGGACATCACATTAATTATCCTAGCAATGGTTTATTTGTAAATGTAAAAGATTATGAAAGCCACACGCCCACTTACAAAAATTTTGGAAAATGGAGAAAATCGCCCTTAATCCCATCACTAATGTTAGCGTTTTGGTAAATTTTCTCTTGGTATTTTTACACAGATATAGTCATAATGTACCTATCATATTGCTAAACCGCTTTACACAACTATTAATACTTTTACCTAAAAACTTTTAAAATCAAGTATATGCAACCACATTTAAAAAAAAAATCAAATGATACTTTCAACATTTATTGGATTATTTTTATTTTCCAAAACTCTAAGTAACAGTAAAAAACAGGCTATTGGAAATCTAAATTCAATCACTTGCCCCACTACCAGTGATAGCATTTAAGGGATTAACAATAAATTCAGTAAGTTACATCACCCTGAAGGAGGTGTTAAATCAAGTTCTAAACTGCTACCAGTTCAATTTCCAGGTAAACTTTAAATCCTATTCCAAGTTGTCTCACTTAATAGGTTTATCAATTTGGGTGTTTCACTCTCTTCACTCTCGTCCAGGGAGAAGTGTGAAGAGAATTTAAACAAACTGAATGAACAGAAAAGTATCAGAGCGAACAGAAAAACTAGGCAATGGGGAGAAAGGAGCTGGTATTCTAATCTGTATCTAGTCTCCCACGGCTTCTAGAATAGGGTCACATGACCTCACTCTGACTCTACCTGCCCTGCTGCCACTTCCCCGACAACAAACCAGACTCTAGAGCAGGGTTAGCAAACTTTTCCTGTAAAGGACCAGTTAGTATTTTAGACTTTGAGGGCCAAGAGGCCAAACTGAGAATAATATGTTCTTACAGAACAAAACAAACTTCCACATTTTTTTAATTGATGAAATTCAAAATCTAGTGGGCGCGTGCGTGGCTCAGTTGGTTAAGCGACTGCCTTCGGCTCAGGTCATGATCCTGGAGTCCCTGGATCGAGTCCCGCATCGGGCTCCCTGCTCAGCAGGGAGCCTGCTTCTCCCTCTGACCCTCCCCCCTCTCATGTACTCTCTCTCATTCTCTCTCAAATAAATAAATAAAATCTTTAAAAAAAAAAAAAAAGATTTTAAATCTAGTAATTGGCTACAATTTTTGTAGAGGTTCTACTAATAAGATCAGATTTGGGGGGATGGGATAACATTTGTAAAGTTAAGGTCCCTTTCATCAAATTGATTACAAATGTTCATCTGTTAATGCAGATTCTATAATCAGATTTTACAGATTTCATCTTTGAAAATGTCTTTCACATCTTTGAAAATGATAGGTACTGCCAAATGCTGTTATCATTCCACAAGCATTTTAATTGAGCACATTCTTCTCTTAGAAGACACCTACAGAATTCTATTAGTCTTGATAGTTGCCTTTTAATCGCTTCTAATTGACAGTTTGGTGTAAACTCCTTAGTTGCACAGGTAAATGGATTTTGAAATAAGGAAATTTCTTTTGCATTCACATCAAGCAGCAAAATCACTGCTAGAACTGTAGTTTGTGTTTAGAAATCATATCCACAGTAACTTTGTGTAGGAATGGAGTCTTGCCTTTAACTTTTTTTAAAAATTTTATTTTATTATGTTGATCACCATACATCATTTGTTTTTGATTCAGTGTTCCATGATTCATTGTTTGTGTGTAACATCCAGTGCACCATTCAACACGTGCCCTCTTTAATATCCATCACCAGGCTAACCCACCCCCCTCCCCTCTAGAACCCTCAGTTTGTTTCTCAGGGTCCATAGTCTCTCATGGTTCGTCTCCCCGTTTTAACTTTTGACAGGACACAGGAAGTGTATAAAGTAGTTTGACACATGGGGCGCCTGGGTGGCTCAGATGGTTAAGCGCCTGCCTTCGGCTCAGGTCATGATCCCAGGGTCCTGGGATCGAGCCCCGCATCAGGCTCCCTGCCAAGCAGGGAGCCTGCTTCTCCCGCTCCCTCTACTGTTCCCCCTGCTTGTGCTCTCCCGCTCTATCAAATAAATAAAATCTTTAAAAAAAAGTTTGACACGACTTATGATTCAAACATTCGTTGTCAAAATAACTTTACTACAATTTAAGGTTTGCAAAGAAGCTGTCTTGTAATTTTAGGCTGAAGTCTTTAAGAAACCTTATCAAGTCTGCAGGAAAAGCCAATTTCCAAAGCTATTCAGCATTCAAGAATAGTGGTTGAGAATGATTCTTCTCATTCAGAAAAATTTCAACATCAGCCCTGAACTCAGAAAATTATAAGAAAACTTTACCACTGCTAAGCCATCAAACTATTGTGTAGTAGGGCATGCCAGAATATTCAGCTTCTCTAACAAAAATTAATGGAATTGATTCTCATGGTGAAGTCCACATGAGGGAGTAAAGTTCATTGCTGATTCTAACAGTTCAATGACACGATGGATTCAAAAATTTTTCTGCAAAGTACCTGCTAATGAATAATACAATGAATAACCACAGACTTTAAACACCTTACATTTTCATAAGCTTTGTAAATTTGTCCAGTTAAATCTTTTTCTGCTCTACACATTCTTACCATCATCAGCTAACAGGTATTAGCAGATCATACGTCAGGTTGTACTGAGTTTTTCCCTAACTTTTTTGAAAATATTCTCAGCTGTCATTATTTTAAGTAGACTATTCATTGATGCCAATTCTTCAGTCACTTCAAATGAGGCACTGACTCCATGAAGAAACCAACTAAACAGTAACAGTGGCATCTGTTGACTCATCAAGAGCCCAAGGGAAACCTACATGAAATAATTTGCCTGGTATTTTGACTACTGCTATTCCTCCCAGGGACTTCCACATTTTGAGAAGCTGTTCTTGACGAAAAGCTAACACTTTTAAACAAGTCTGCTCAGGACACATTTCTTCAGCTGCTGCAATCACACACAATATAATTCATTCACTATCGTCAGTATCAGTAAATGGCTTTCCTTGCTCAGCTAATCAATGAGCCACTGGAGAAACTTACTCCAGTCATAGCCTCATTTTCCTTATTGTGAAGAAATTCTGCTGTGATAAAACAGTCCCTTTAAGATTTCTAATTTTTCCAGGGCGCCTGGGTAGCTCAGTCAGTTAAGCGTCTGCCTTCAGCTCAGGTCACGATCCCAGGGTCCTGGGTTTGAGCCCCACACCGGGCTCCCTGCTCCGCAGGAAGCCTGCTTCTCCCTCTCCCACTCCCCTGCTTGTGTTGCCTCTCTCACTGTGTCTCTGTCAAATAAACAAATAAATCTTTAAAAAAAAAAAGATTTCTAATTTTTCCAACCATTTCCTTCCTGTGTGTTGGGCCTATCGTGACAACTCTTTAGTCTGGTAATGTTGATGGGTCTTCTCACAGCACAGCTCTTACTAAAGATAGCTTTGGGGGCGCCTGGGTGGCTCAGTTGGTTAAGCGACTGCCTTCGGCTCAGGTCATGATCCTGGAGTCCCGGGATCGAGTCCCGCATCGGGCTCCCTGCTCGGCGGGGAGTCTGCTTCTCCCTCTGACCCTCTTCCCTCTCGTGCTCTCTGTCTCTCATTCTCTCTCTCAAATAAAATCTTAAAAAAAAAAAAAAATTAAAGATAGCTTTGCTACCTAATTTGATAACAAAAGAATTCACACTCCATCATGCCCTAAAACATGATATTCCAAGTCCATTTTTCTCTTCCTCACCTGTCCTGACATGATTGGCGAGCACTGGTAATAAGGAATAAATAAAACATTGTGGTGTGCTGATACACATGGACTGGAAACACTGTCAAGTTGTAATGGTGTCCTCGCCATGTGTATGCTGAACAGCAATACCAAGCGAGGGGAGTGCCGTGTACCGTCTCTGTCACGATATGGAATCTTGCAGTTATAGTGCAAAAACAGCTAGACGATATGTAAACCAATGGGGGAGGGTTCCATCAAAGCTTTATTTACGGATTCTGAAATGTGAATTTCATACAATTTTCATGTGTCATGAAATATTATCGATTCTTTTTCAACCGTTAAAAATGTAAAAGCCATTCTTAGCTCACAGGCCATACGAAGGCAGGTGGCAGGCTGCATCTGGCATTACAAGCTGTAGTTTGCCGACCTCTGCTCTGAAGAGTTGGTATTCCCCAACACACCACAACCCTCCCTTCACATCTCTACACTTTCGATGATATTGCTCCCGGTGTCTGGATCACCCTTTTGGCTTCTTCTCCACATGAGGGTTCCCTGGCACAGCCCACTGGAGTTAATCACCCTCCTTCCACGTTTCCACTACCAAGGTATGAATACAGCCCAGAGAGCCCCTACCACAGTCGATTTCAACTCCTTTGTATGTAGCCATGTCTATCATTTCTCTACCTCTGCAAGAGCTGGCTCACAGCAGGTATTCAAGATAGGTTTGTACAAGAAAAAGCAAAGGCACAGAGCTTCACAAGTGGTACAAGCCTGGTCCATAGCAACTATATACTAACCCAGCAAAACAGAAGCAATTCCAATCTCTGATTTAGGTGCTTCTCCTGGCAATTAATAAACCAGTAACTTCTCTAGCTACCTTCCCCACAATGTCTGCCCAGCTTTGTTCCTCACCCCGAACACTAATTTTGAGATCAGACTCACATGCAGACTAGAAAAGCAACCAGACTTGTTCTGTTAATTCCTGGGAATGTGTGGAGATCACTAGAAATGTATTAAATTCCTTTTTCTGTTTCCTCCAAAAACTAAGGGGTATTATGATGACTATTTGGCAAAAACTGGGTACAATCCAAAGATTTATCAAGAAAAATTACGGAATTATGTCCCCAGACTATAATTGGGGGGGGGGGGCCTAGAAAGGAAAATACATTCACTATTATTGATTTTAGAAGTTATCTTGACTTTTCTTTACTGAATTGTGATTAATAACTTTTAGAATTAAAAAAACCTTTTTGTTGGGAAAGAAATCCACAATATTAATGACAGCTTGACAGGGAATCTATCCTGATCCAAAATTAAATGAAAGATGTTGCGGGCTCCTCGGTGGCTCAGACGGTTAAGCGTCTGCCTTCGGCTCAGGTCATGATCCCGGGGTCCTGGGATCGAGTCCCGCATCGGGCTCCCTGCTCCTTGGGAACCTGCTTCTCCCTCTGCTTTTCTCTCTCTCTGTCTCTCATGAATAAATAAATAAAATCTTTAAAAAAAAAAAAGAAAGATGTTGCCAAAAGAGCTCCTTTAAGTTAAAAGTGAACTGGGGGGCGCCTGGGTGGCTCAGTCGTTGGGCGTCTGCCTTCGGCTCAGGTCATGATCTCAGGGTCCTGGGATCGAGCCCCGCATTGGGCTCCCTGCTCCGCGGGAAGCCTGTTTCTCCCTCTCCCACTCCCTCTGCTTGTGTTCCCTCTCTCGCTGTGTCTCTCTGTCAAATAAATAAAATTAAAAAAAAAAAAAAAAACTTAAAAAAAGTGAACTGTGGTAAATATTTTCGTAAAGTAAGTAACTATTAGAATGTCATCTGGTTTGTGATTTGTAGAACCTGATTTGGACACATATGCAGAGTGATTAGATTTGAGTAAAAAGGCAAATAAGCAACACAGTGACGGCCTCTGGAGAAGCAACAGGAGATGGTGCTGCAACACCAGACTTGTTGAAGACGCGACGAATCCCAGTACACACAATGAACAGCAAAATGTGAGCCCAGCAAAAAGCGGACAACAGGCAACAGACTGAGCCAACTGAAGAAACCCCAGATACCCCCTTTCCCCCCAACCTGGAGGTCATGACACTGAAGGGCCATGAGGAAGCACCTGCTCCTGGGGAGCCTGCTGCTCTCCTGGCCAGTCATAGCACTTTTCACAAGGCTCACATGGGAAATGTGATGTGCCCGCATCTCTAATAAGCCACAAATACTCATCTTTATTACAGCTAGTCTCATAAAAACTAAATTTCATCTTTTTCAAGCAATGTACAAGTTTTACCATGGAAACAGAATCTTAAAATGCAAAAAAATGGTCTTGTTCTTCAGTATTTTTTTTAAGTAAGCTCTATACCCAATGTGGGGCTTGAACTCAGGATCCCGAGATCAAGAGTCACATGCTCTACCAACTAAGCCAGCCAGGTACCCCTGTTGTTCAATATTCTTTATTGAAATCTCACCAGACATTGATAGGATTCTGCAACTAACAAAGAGGGGGAAAAAAAAAAAACCTCTGGAGTCACTGTCAAATATCACACTGTAGTATGCAAAGACTCAAAATGATACTTATCTGTAATCTGCTTTCCATATTCATATTAACCTACCCATACATAACTCCCCAAAAACATTTAGTCACAGAAATCATAGATCATGGCTTATCAAAACTCTTCATTTTTAAGTTTGAGAATAAAAGATTTTTTAAGTCCAAGGAAGATATTATAAGAGCTGATAAACAGTAGATTAAGAATCCTAACTTATCCAAATACATACACATACACAATCATATATATAAATGTATTTCTTACAATTTGCTGCAAATCTTTCCCAATCTTTGAAGAGCTTAAGACAAATTATTATTAGTTCTAGACTGTTTATAAAGATATACATATACATTCTGTTTTGACACAAACAAAGCCCAGAAACCATACAACTATGTAACAATAACCACATCAGTGGGAGTTGCCAGAAAATGGCTTTTTAAGATTTCATTTATTTGAGAAAGAAAGAAAAAGAGGGAGAGGGAGAGAGAGAATCTCAAGCCGACTCCATGCTGAGCATAGAGCCTGATGCAAGGGCTTGATCTCACGACCCTGAGATCATGACCTTAGTCGAAATCAAGAGTCAGAAGCTCAACCAACTGAGCCACTCAAGCGCCCCCTCTCTTTCATAAATTTTATTCATAGCAAATGGCTTTTAAAAAACAAGACTAAATAAAGCTAAAATTTGATTGGCAAATATTTGGACAATTCCAAAAAAGCACTATACGGCTATAGAGATTTGGTTTCCAAATCTCAAGTGATCCTGGTTTAAAACATTCTCTCTGGCAGAAAAGCAAGCTCAGATAGTGTTATTCAGGCAGATAAAGTAAGTGTCTAATGAATCTCTGAGTGTGTCTGAACATTTAAGGTAGGCTTTGATTCTATAACTGACTTTTAGCCAGAGTACATATAGTAGGACCTTAGAGCCAGTGTGAACCTCCTGGATATAATACAACTATCCTAACCCACAGAAACATACACAGGAACCCACAGTGTAAGTGCTACAGGCACTTATGAAAGCAAACGCTTTCAGGTGGGGGAGCCACTCATGGGTAAATGACTGCAGCCCACTCTTCATTGGAAAAGGTCTGACACCTGTGAGCCCTCCTGAGCCAGAGAACTAACAAGAGCCATGAACGATATGATGTTGGCAGCTAATCCTACATGTCCCTGCTTCCTTCTTTCTAGGACTGCGCCCTTGACCCAAAGTTTTTGGAACTGGTAAAACTGAGGAGAGAAAATTCAGGGAAGGTTCACTCACATCACTGATTGTGGAGAATGTATGTGAGGAGTACTGAAAACCCTGGTTCATTCCTCCCTAAGTAACACCTTGACTCGATTCAGTTTTCCTGGCTTGAAAAAAACCCCAATTTGATGAATGTTCGAATATATACGTTTGAACTGATGTGTTATTTTGTACACTGTTTTCTGTAAAACAAAGTCTTTGGCCCTGTAAGAGCAGATCTGTTGTTTAGAACACAAATCCATCATGTAAGATACAGGTAGCCTGATAGAGGCTACTGGAAGAATGGCAACTGAAGTAAAATTTGGGTATGGAGGAGAGGAATATGCTCTCTGCAGACAACACTGACCCACATGTGCCCTAGGAACTGCCGATTCCACTTTAGGGTAGATGTAGCTAAAGAAGCATTTGGTTAAGGCTGTTGAAGGAGGTAGCAATGAAACTGAAAGCAGTAACTTGGGCATTGTTCAAATATTGGTAAGATGATACTTACACTGTGCTAAATGCCATGTGCTATTTTAAGCACTTTACATATATTAACTCACTTAGACCTCGTAACAACTCCACGGAATAGGTACCATTGGTATCCTCAGGAAACTGACATAGAAAGAGGAAAGTCACTTGCCTAAGGTCCCACAGCTAGTAAGTGGCAGAGCTGGGCTCCAAACCCAATCCGTCTGGCCCTAGAGCCAGTACTCATACACATTGCGCTGACTGCTAACTATGTTTTTCTTAATTGAGCTAAAAAGAAAAACAAGAGTAATTGCAGATAAACATAAATGACTCTCTAGAAGCTGTTCAAAATATGTCAGGGAGTTTTTTTAACAGGCCATAATCACAATAACCACAAAATAAGTTACTAAAAATAAAAAACGAAAATGTTACCTTTAACATGCTCTACTAGAAATTTAATATTCATTTTATGTATTCATTATAAAGTACTCTTAGTTCAATTATAAAATTTAAGTTTTGGGTTTTTTCTTTTAAATAGAAAATACAAGCACGGGCTTCTAATTTATGTTATATTTGGAAAGACTGATTTACACAAATCCTAATGGGATGGGCTACCAAATACTTGGCACGTCTAAGCAGTGAAAGTTTCATCAAAAAGACATAGTAATGTTCTTACCGGTATTAATAGAAACTTACATATAAAAACTACTATTTGAAACTTTTAAGTCATAAAACACCAGGCCAAAAGTTTTTCTCAACCTCTTCTTTCCTAAGCATAACTACGTCTCCTCAATGGGGGTAGTTTCGTGACAATGCCCAAATTTCACAGGAAGGTGGGCACGTGGGCCTTTCCCCTCCTCATCAGAAGTTAATTTGTTAGGACTTATGGTGGCCACATGATGTTTCAAATACTAGTAGGAAACAAATGAGTCGACTTAGGAACACAAAAAGTAAACTGTGATATAAAGAATAAGGAAAGGGATGCAACATTTCAATAAGCTCAGATATGACATGATGATACTATCACAGGCCTGAGTATCTTCTTTATCTCCTAAATAAGTTGAGCCCCCAACAGGAAAAAGGTCACCTCACAGAGAACGCTATGAGATTTTTAAGTCGCTAGACTCCTTTCCATCTTCTCTTCCTCATCAGCTCTTGATACTGCTGTCAAATTCTACAAACTGGCAAAGAAAAAAGGGGTGAAAGTTGAGGGATTGTGTAGAGAAATAATAAAAAAATTTGTGACTATTAGAACTAAAATATTATAGCGACTGTTATAATTTAAAATGCCTACAATATGTGGCCTGTCCTTAAAGAAATGTCAAGTGAACATTAAAACCATAAAATACCTGAGAATGGAATTCATTACATTTCGGCAAGAACAGCAACTTTCTATCTCCCACCCACCCTAGGAAGCTCAATTCATCTTTACAAAGGCACTGGGGAAATGTGCTTGTTCCTTATAATGGCTGTCAATTCAGAGACAATTTGAAGTACAACTACCAACGACTAGGAGTCTCAGACTTGCTGAGTATTCACTTCTTATCTCAAAAGCATCTCCACAGACCTAGAACATGAGGGCGTTCACCTAGAACGGATACACAGGGACTAAGCCATTGAGAAGGCTGGAAAAGGGGCACCAAGGAGCTTTTCACAAACTACAGGCTTTTCCATACCAAATGATGCTGCCAAGCCCTGATAGGCCATATGAGCCTGATAGACTCTTAATGCACTGATTTTTTAAAAAATCCTTTTAAAAAAGTAATTGAGATGTAATTTATACAACACAAAAATCTCACCATTTTAAAGTGTACGTCTCAGTGGTTCTTAGTATATTCACCATGTTGGAGAATTACTGCCACTATCTAATTCCAGAACATTTCCATCACCCCAAAAATAAACCCCATACCTATTATCATATGCACTGATTTTACCCATACTTTCTCCGCAGATATCTCTGTGGCCCATGCAGTATTTTAAGATGGCTGGCTGGTGCGAGTCTACACAGTATCTATATGGTAAGAAAACAAGAAAGCTACATTGTCCAGAAGGATACTGAACCCAAATTCTTGGCATTTTTAGCAATTACACTAATGTAATTTTTATACATCGGCTAAGAATGGCAGAGAAACTTACATTCAACATCCATCTTCACTTAACACATTAGTGTGCCCCCAATTCATCCAAGATGTTAAAAGAAGGGAAGACAATCTACTAGGATTAGCCATAACTGTCCATAGTTGCAATTTCAAAACACAGAAGATGCAAATGTGGGAAAACCTCCTTTAGTATCAAGCATAGCTGGATTAAAAAAAAACAACAACAACAAAACGAAAAACTTAATCATTAAGTAAGTACTGCCCCGTTTGGGAAAATAATCCCTACACCAGTCCAGTATTTAAAGTAATGTAGCTTTAAATGCAACCTTACTTTTATCATTCTTGTGACACCTAGAGCCTCTCCTAATGAGAAAAATAACCTTTAGGCAAAGGTCTGGCAGGAAAGCCTGCAGATGTGTGGTGCTCAGGCTGCTGCAGGGCTCTCATTACCTAAGTGAGCTCATGGCTTCTAAGACACACAGGAAGGAGACCTCACCTTCAGGCATCAGGGTGTTGAAAGCGGGAGGAAGTAGGTCCACGAGGGTGTCTTGCTTTTGTGCACTTATCTGGGGTGCTATTTCCAGAGAAGGAGCTCCTTTATAGAGTGTGCCCAAGATGGATTTCTCTAAGTTGCTCTCAGAGTTGTCCAGCTGCCCTCACCAATAAGTCAGTCTTTGTAGGTTGATAGAAACCACCAGTCAAAGCAGATGCAAATGGATTGTGGGGAAGCCTTCTTTAGTATCTAACATAGCTGGATTAAAACAAAAAAACTTAACCATTAAGCAAATCTTCATTTTAATCATTACTTTCATAGCAAATATCAACTAGGTGCTACACTTGGTTCTACCCTTCCATGGGCACTTAATTATGAATGGGAGTTTTGTGGGCTTGAGTGAAGACCACAATGAGCTCTTAATTTTTGTCCGGTAAGAAATTAGTTCTACTTGGTAAACAAGTAAACAAGATCCAGAAATATTTATTGGTAATTTAACTCATGCTTGCTGACATTGCCTAGCAACACTTCCAGTGACTTCTGTTGTGCAACAAGCTGTACTCTAGTATAATGTATTTACAATTTTACTGCAATTTGCAATAATGATTTAAATACATTTTCATTTCCTGGATTTTCCAAAACACAGTCAGATGCAATCAAGTAAAGTTCATGACATATATACAATGTATAAATTAACAAATTTGCCTCAAAATAGTTATCTATGTAAGTAGTGCTACATTGTCCCTGTTTAAAGATGCCCAGGGAACAGTCCTAAGTTAAAAAATAATAATAATAATAACACTTGGCTAGATGAGGCTATAAAGCATTTATCCTCTACCTATAAGAAACCACCCAGTGGGGCGCCTGGGTGGCTCAGTCGTTAAGCGTCTGCCTTCGGCTCAGGTCATGATCCCAGGGTCCTGGGATCGAGCCCCGGCATCGGGCTCCCTGCTCCGCGGGAAGCCTGCTTCTCCCTCTCCCATTCCCCCTGCTTGTATTCCCTCTTTCGCTGTGTCTCTCTCTGTCAAATAAATAAAATCTTTAAAAAAAAAAAAAAAGAAAGAAACCACCCAGTGGCCAGTGAAACTCCAAAAAACCTTCACTAAACTAGAATTTCATTTTCCTTTACCCCAAGGGCATTAAGAGGACTGAGAATCAACTGCAAGTGAAAGAATCCAAAAATTATCTACTGTCTTTAAGGCTTACATCCTCTTATAGGGTCTAAATAATATGGCAGAAACCTGGATATTTTGGAAGGCAGGTTGTTTTTTTTTTTTGTGACCTTTCAACTATATACTTTTAATAATATAATTGCTATACAGTAAAAAACCCAAAGTTAGCTAAATTTGTAGACACATTTGGGAATGTAATTGCTCCAAAATTTCCCATTCTTAAATCTGTTTTTATAAAACTCTTCTAATACAAGATGGGACTTGTTCTGAAAACAGGTGGATTAAATTCAGTCTTTGTCAAATAAAAGTACAAATTACCTAGCAAGATGTGAGGTGGTTCTTGTACTGGAAGAGGACTAATACATGCACATTATCATTTTACTGCATGCTAATCAAATACTTGGAGCTGAATAAGAGGAAATTCTAATATAGCCATTTTCTAAAGGGTTGGATTCCTCAGGTCTAGCACAAGTGCCTACTATACCAATTAGCTAAAAGGATTATTTCAAAGTTTTTCTTAAAGCAAGATTATTCATGAGTTTAGGAAAAAAAAACCAACAAAATTATCATTCAAACTATGTTATGAATAATCCTCTTGGTTTAAGAAGAAGAGAGCTCAAATTCTAGGACTTTATTTGTGGGGCAAGAAGGCAAGCCTATGGGGCGCATGGGTGGCTCAGTTGGTTAAGCGACTGCCTTCGGCTCAGGTCATGATCCTGGAGTCCCGGGATCGAGTCCCACATCAGGCTCCCTGCTCAGCAGGGGGTCTGCTTCTCCCTCTGCCCTCTTCCCTCTCATGCTCTCTGTCTCTCATTCTCTCTCTCTCAAATAAATAAATAAAATCTTAAAAAAAAAAAAAAAGATTTTAAAAAAGGGGCGCCTGGGTGGCTCAGTCGTTAAGCGTCTGCCTTCGGCTCAGGTCATGATCGCAGGGTCCTGGGATCGAGCCCCACATCGGGCTCCCTGCTCAGCGGGAAGCCTGCTTCTCCCTCTCCCACTCCCCCTGCTTATGTTCCCTTTCTCGCTGTGCCTCTCTCTGTCAAATAAATAAATAAAATCTTAAAAAAAAAAAAAAAAAAAGAAGAAGGCAAGCCTCTGGAAAGGCAATATTTGTTTTTGGTGGATTCAACCAAGTTTGCCAAGACTGTCTGCCATTATGATGAGTGGCACTCAATTTTTAAACTTTTTTTAAAGTTTAAGTAATCTCTACACCCAGTGTGGGGCTCAAACTTACAACCTCAAGATCAAGAGTCACATGCTCTGCTGAGCCAGCCAGGTGCCCCAAGGGGCACTCAATTTTAACACATTTCTTCTGGATTATTGCAAAGGTTATTGCATATCACATAATCTCAGATAATATCAGGCACAAAAAACACACAAAGTTATTGTAATTCATGTACAAGTTTTAAAAAAGTAAAAAAAAAAAAATTAACCAGTAAAAAAATACATACCAAAAAAAAAAAAAAAGGTCTATATTTGTATTCCACAAAGGGATCTATGCAATATATAAGGCCACATTCAGACTGGTACAAATTCTGGAAATTCATGCTGCAAGTGAGAATTAAAAAAATGCTGGCCAGCTCAAAATTTTAAAGTAAACATTAAAATCAAAATAAAAATATTCCTGTGGTCTAACCTTCAAGGGTAACAAATGGGTTCACCTTAAAAAAAAAATCAGTGCCAGTAAGTGTACAAGTGCCATCATCTGTATCCTCAAACTCCCTGCGCTCCTAAGACCTGGGATGACAAGGCAATGAAGTTTTCCAAATCATCACAGCTTCTGAATGCCCATAAATCTACCAACGAAGAAAATGGATGTCTACCTCTTATTTCTGGAGATAAAAACATAAACCTATACACAAATGAACAGTTAACAGGATATAAAAAGATGGGAACACCTACAACCTCCAATCACCCAATCAAGCTTGGGCGTTCATCTACTTCTGTTGATAACTAAGCCAACTCAAGAGCCAAGACTGATTATTCTGCACTTACCCCACAAGCAAAGGAAAGACAGATTTTAAATAAGCATCAACAGGACAAAAACGCAGATGTTAACATTTACACAGATGCTGACTCGTTTCATCTGTCAATTCAAAATGGTAAGAAAACCCTTCTAATATAGATTCCATAGTCTGCTCAATGACAACACAACATAGAGGTTGCTGAAACATTACCCCAAGTATTATACGTATTTTACTGAAAAATAACCGAGCAACCAGATTATAAAGAAGTTCCCATTATGGGAAGTATGCAGATTTTCAAATCAAAACCATACTGCTGCTTGACCACACCATTCAACCGACCAGAATCCTCTAAGGTAAGATCATTTCACCAAAACCGGTGGAAGGATGGCAGAAAGAACTCCAGTGAGAAAGGACCCGCAAAGCAACGGCCACAATAGAAAAGTAACAGTTAACACAAGTCAGACTGTCGCCAAGGAAAAGCTTCAACTTATTTCAACCAATAGCAGGGAATCTCACAAAGAAACCAATAAGCTTCCTAAAACCCATGTCCCCCAATCCCAAACAGTTTCCCAACGGGGCTTACTTCGGTGAGTGACAAACAGGAGCTCCTCCTGTCTAGTTTCAGTTCCTTCTACTCCAATAGAGGCTTCCTGCTCTCGGCTCACCAGGCGGCATTACTGGGTGGCTCTTAAGGGTTGCAAGCCTCACGTCCACCTGGGGGGTCCTTCTAAACACGCGCAGCACCTGGGAGCCCCAAACGGATGGGAGGCGCTCAAAGAGCACGGGGGGGGGGGGGTGAAAATGGAATCCAACATCTTGCTTAACAGGAGGGCCCGCCTCTGCAGCTTTCCTTCTCCCGAGGCACCTAGCCCTAGGTGGTCCTTTAACGTGCTTGAAAGGACACGAGGAGGCGGCAAGGACCCACACTCAGACACACGCGGATTCCCAGGGAGGGGGTTTTCCAGCTACTGGATTCCTGCGGTGTGAGCGCGGGGCTCCCTCTGCCAGGGTACTTCGCTGGGCCTGGAGACACATTCGGACCCCATCGCCCTCGGGGTCCCCGACTCAAGCTGGGTCAGGTGTCCCAGCGAGTTCCAAGCGAGAGAGGCCTCCACAGACAACATACGGGCTTCAGGGACACAAAAGGCCTCCCGGGCAAGGAACCCGGGGCGCCTGACAGAACCTGGCGCCGTCCTTCGCAGCGGCTCTAAGGCTGGCCCCCGAGGCACCCATCCTGGCTCTGTGCTGGGCTTCTTATCGCCCCACAAGTGCCTGATACTGTGGTTTTACGGTCTGAGGAACAGTTAGGCCTCACAGGCCTGGCCTGAGATGTGCGCTCTCCGAACCCCGCACTGCCGCCTTCCCCACTCAGCGGCGGGGCCCGGCTTTCCCGCCCCACAGCCCGACCAGGGGTTGGTGGCAGACGGAGGCAGTTGGGACCGGCCCCAGCAGGTTGGAACCGGTCTGGGCCGGGCCGGAGGAGGAAGGGGGGGAGGGAGAGGCCGCCTCGCGCTCTCCCTGCGCGCGTGACTCACGCTGGCCGCTGACGTCAGGCGTGCGCGCGCGGCGGGGGGGGCTCTACGTACGTGTAGTGCTGCGGTTTCTCGGGCTGTGCCTGCAGCACCTGAGCGGTAGCGGCCGGGGGCGCCGAGGAAGCTGCGGAGCCGCCGGGCCCGGGGCCCTTCGACATGGTCCTGTCTTCCTGCCTCTTCGCCGCTCCCCTTTTATTATTCAGTCTGCGCGGTCCGCGCCGAGGATCCAGTGCGCCTGCGCCGCGCCACGAGAACGTGAAGACCCCCCGCACGGCCGCAAGGGTTGCTGGGAGTTGTGGTCCTCCGTTCGGCTGGAATTTTACCGTCGGCAGAGGGTGGCTGCCAAAGGAATGGACCACAATACCCAGGGATCCTTGCAGACGATGTCCCGGATGCTGAGGGCCCGCCACGGCTTGTGGGGATTGCAGTCCCGCCGCGTCCTCCTTCTTACTAGTGCGTTTCCAGTTTCTTAGGGGAGCTTTCCTTGGAACTGGAGCCTCTGGAGTAGAGAGGGCCCAGAGCTAGAGAGGCCCTAACGACTTATGTGAAACAGTCCAAGTGTAATTTCGCCACCAACAGTGTAGTAATTATCTCGCCGTCAGACTTGGTCGGTCTTGGGTTCAGTGCTGATGCCGGCCCCAGGAGTGCTTCAGAATCTGTATTGTCCGTTCTTAGCTCTGGGCCTTTGTGCTGCAGGCACCTGCAGTCCGCCAACATCCTCTTCATTCCTGCGGCCAGGCCAACTGGGGAGGCATGAAGGAAAGTCTGCCTACTGGAAGTCAGCTAAGAAATCTTTGCCAAAGTTGAGCTACACGACCAATACTCTGTTCCCGCGTCTTTGCGGAGGCGCTCCGTAAACCTTTACCAGCCCTGAAACCTGGAACCCCACGACTTGGGTCCCTTCCCAAATCGACACCTGGCCTGACCAACTTGTTTCCAGTGCACTAGGGGCCAAGGACGAATTTAATCTCCGTCTAGAACAGTCTCAGGTACACCGACGAGTTGCAGGGGAGTTGAGAAGCTTCGCACACTGTCCAGCAGCAGAGCCTCGGGTTGAGTCGGGGGTGCAATTTAAAATCCACTGCAGTTTCCTTCTCTGGACCTCAGCTGTTCTGTGTTTTCCGACCCCACTTCCCACTAGTAGGGCGAAGTTCTTCACTCTGTGGCTTTTGTCAAATAAGCCAATTCCCTCTTTACAAAGTTCTTTATAGATCTATTGACAGTTGTCATTTAGCTTTGTTTTCCATAATGAATCTATTTAAATCCCTTGTTTTTAAGAAGTTTATATTTGATTAGATAGGTTAACTAATGATTGTCACGTTAAGGAAAAACGTTCCCAATAACCTTAGGGGTGAGGGAGGGTGGGGTGAATGGAAAATTGTTAATGTTCAAGAATGACACATATTTTATTTAGTTCTGAGTAACCTCACATCAGAAGCCAAATTGTCTGCCTACAAAGTTGAGAAACTGGTATTTCCTAAACAGGCCAAATCAATTGTTTAACCACTAGGGGCGTGCGAAGATGAAAAATTCCAAAAGGACAAATAAAAGTTGTAGTTGTATTGGTTTAACCCTGTTATTAAATCCAAGTAATTGGTTTATATGTTATCCCCAAAATACCTGAGTGTGATTTGAATGAAGAAATATAGTCCATAGCACTAGGCTTTAAGAAAGCGTATACCATAAGCTTCAGGATGAGTGTGTACTGGTAAAATTGGGAGATGATATCATCCAAACTGTTTAACTTACAAAAGAGAAAACCGAAACTCAGAGAAGTAACTTGCACAGTTCCTCAGCAAGCCCATGGCAGAACAGGAACTAGGACGGGAGCCTACATGCTGCATCACATTCTACATTGTTTTGATTGTATAAACATTTTTAGTTCTTTCCCATTTCCTGTGTTGCCTTTCCTCTCCTGTGCCAATTTAGGAAGAAGAAAAACCCGCGTGACTGCCAAGTAAGAAGGATGAACTATTCCCACTAATCGTCCTTTAAGTAGATGAATGTAAATCTATACCTAGTTTCTGCTGGAGCAATTAGTTCTCCTCTAGTAATTAGCCAAACTGCAAAAAGAAAAACAAAACTGGAGTGTCTGTCCTCTGGAGGCTTGAGACAGACAGAATTCTGGATCTTTTAGAAAATCTTTGGAACTCAAAGGCATTGTTAACTTAGGAACCCATTTCTTCCCCAGGCCATTTGGGCAGTCAAAAATGTTAACAGGGTATTTTTCTGGTTACATCCCAGAACATTTGAGAGCCTTTTGTGTGTGATCTAACCAGTGCCCTGATTCTTAGCCTTACTCAAGTTCTGAGGACAGGGCAAGAGCCTCCATCTTGGTTTCTCAGCATCGCATGAATGAAAAAGAAAAAATTTCTCCCATACTGTAAACTTTGGGCAGAAGGCAGAAATTAAAGTTGACCAAATTATCACATAAAAGTTTAGGTATGTGATAATTAAATACAAATTGTGCCTGTTAAGATTGAGAGGGCTGAAATGAGAGGAATTTGATATCAGAGATTGGGTCAAAGACATTTTTACCGTAGCACCTTTTTCATATTGCTCATTTTCCCCCTCACTATTGATACTGAGAGCAGACCTTCCCTGTCACAAGTAAATTTTTGAGGTATTTGTATTTATGTACAATAAACATTTGAGTTGAAATTACATGTACATGGGTTTTGCTATTTTTTTTTATTTTGATAATTTAAAATATTCAGTGGAAAAAAATTCACTAAACCCAGAGTAGGAACTATGGAATAAAATGCACAAAGCTCTATTTCAATTTTCTGAGTTTTGTTTGGCTGGTCTTAAACTTTACCCTGCTTTGGTATTTTATATACCTGTATCAGCAGGAGAACTGAAAATTACAATTCCTCAAATACATTTATTTAGGCAAAGGTAGGGATTACCGTTTTTATACATTTGTCGTGTTTCTTAGAAGTAGTACCTACGAGAATATACCACTAAATACAAGGGCACATATTTAATTTTCTTTCATTTATTCTTTATGGACATGCAAATGCTGTCTTAGGACTATTTCCATTTTGGCTGTAATCATTTCATTCAGTTGAATTACATAATTCAAAAATATGTTGCTCAGTAGGCTACTTCTTTAAGCTATTGAAATCACAAAGTATTTTGTGATAGCCTAAGAACATACAAAACAGTACTTATAAAATCATATATTGACATATTTTTTTTGTGTCTACTATTTACCCCTACCTACACCACCAAACAAAAGAACTACTTTTTGGTTAAAATATATATGAGTGATATATAAAATACTTGGTAGTATAATATGATTTGCTGAATTCTAATTCTCTTTTACACTACATAACCATCAAAATGTGAAAGTAAATAGTCAAGGGAACACATTTAGTTTTACATTGGAAAATACGGACAAGAATTTCCTTTAAGTAACCTCTCCTCCTGCATTTTATTAGCGAGATGCGAATTTGGTCAGGTTCCTACCCACCCTGACCCTTAAGTCCTGATAGAGACCAATGCAATTCATTTGCATTGACTTTCTATTGTAGAGCTTTGGAACCAAGGGAAGGATCCAAACATAGCTTCATTTTATCCAATCAGAAGAGCTGCTTCGTGCTAATCTCTGATTCGCCCATTCCTCTTTGCATTCATCCAATCATCAGGCCACTTTAACAGCCAATCGGCGGCCTAGATGCCCACCAATCCGGGAGCGAGGCCGAAGCACGGCCTTTGTGTCGGGGATGTCAGCGCGTCGGCGAAAGCTCCCGCCAATAGAAAAAGTCGTTGGTGTATGCAAATTAGGCCTCTGTGACGCAGAGACGCAGCGTGAAGCGTGGGTATAAAAGCGAAGGCAAAGGGGGGGTTTGGAGCACAGAGCGGTTTGGTCGTTCGTTGGACGGTCTTCTTTTCTTTGCTCGGCGACTGCGGCTCTTCATTGGGCAGCAGGAGCGGCGTGGCGGTCGGAGAAGCGGTCTAAGACTTCGACATTGGGTAAGCGTTGGCAGGTTCGCTTGTGGTTCGAGACCCTGTCGGCCGTTGTTGCCGCGGGCCGCAGCCGTTGGAAGCGGAGTGCTGGCTGGTGCGGGCTGTTCGGGCCGCCGGCGTCGGGTGTGGGGCCGGGAGGTTTTCCCTTGGGGCTTCGTTCGGGAACCGCGTCTCCGCCTCCTTCCCGGTGGTGATTCAGAGGTCCCGACGCCGGGTTCCGGGCAAGCGGGGCCTCCGCCCGTCGAGGAGGGGAAGTGACTCCTCCCCGCGCCCCCCCTCCCGGGGGAGGCTGCTGCCGCTCCTCGCAGCCTGAGTCATTAGGGGAGGGGGAGGAGGCGGCGGCCCCGGGCCATCTGCCGCCGCGAAGAGGCGGGAGGGCAGGGGCACCGAGCCTGTCCCCCCTCCGGGGGGCGAGCGCCGCGGCCCCGGAGTCACGGATGTCTTCCTTAGGTAAAAGAAAATGGCTCGAACCAAGCAGACTGCCCGTAAATCCACGGGTGGGAAAGCGCCCCGCAAACAGCTGGCCACTAAAGCCGCCCGGAAAAGCGCCCCTTCTACCGGTGGGGTGAAAAAACCTCATCGCTACAGGTAGGCAAGGCGGCAGGAAAACCATGACGGGGCGGCCCGTGGCCCGCGTGGGAGCGCGTCCCGGGGCTGGCGCCGGGCGCTGGCCGCCCCCGGGTGTCCGCTTACACTGCCCTGCTCGCTGCAGGCCCGGGACCGTAGCGCTTCGGGAGATCCGTCGTTACCAGAAATCCACCGAGCTTCTGATCCGGAAGCTGCCTTTCCAGAGGTTGGTGAGGGAGATCGCCCAGGATTTCAAAACTGATCTGAGGTTTCAGAGCGCCGCCATTGGCGCGCTTCAGGTAAGGCGAGCACGGCTGTAGTAGGGTCGGAGGGCTCGTGCGTGGCTTCTCCTCCTCGACTAGAGTTTAATAGTGTGGCTCTTGTCCTCAACAGGAGGCCAGTGAAGCGTACCTGGTGGGTTTATTTGAAGATACTAATCTGTGTGCCATCCACGCTAAGAGAGTCACCATCATGCCCAAAGACATCCAGTTGGCTCGCCGGATACGGGGAGAGAGAGCTTAAGTGAAGGCAGTTTTTATGGTGTTTTGTAGTAAATTCTGTAAAATACTTTGGTTTAATTTGTGACTTTTTTTGTAAGAAATTGTTTATAATATGTTGCATTTGTACTTAAGTCATTCCATCTTTCACTCAGGATG